GATCACAACATGCCCTATAGGTTAAAAAAAATTGTAAGTCGCTTTGGGTAAAAGCGTCTGCTAAGCACATAAACATAAACATAAACAAAAAGCAAGCCAAAGCGGCCTAGTTCTCCTTTTTGGTGATTTTTTTTCTTTAAAAATCTCGAGGTCTTGTTCACGTGAAAGGGAAAGATGGATCGGAAGATCGATAGGCAGATTGGTGCTGTGTCTACAGTACTGCAGGCATTGTACTGGTCTGTTGTGGTGAAAAGAGAGCTGAGCCAGAAGGCAAAGCTCTGGATTTACCGGTCCGCCTATGTTCCTACCCTCACCTATGGTCACGAGCTTTGGGTATTCACTGAAAGAATGAGATCACGGATACAAACAGCCGAAATAAGTTTTCTCCGCAGAGTGGCTGGGAAGTCCCTCAAAGATAGGTGAGAAGCTCGGTCATCTGGGAGGAGCTCGGAGTAGACCCGCTGCTCCTCCATATCGAGAGGAGCCAGTTGAGGTGGCTCGGCCATCTGGTCAGGATGCCTCCTGGACGCCTCCCTGGTGAGGTTTTCTGGGCACGTCCAACCAGGAGGAGACCCAAGGGAAGACCCAGGACACGCTGGAGGGACTATGTTTCTCAGCTGGCCTTGGAATTTCCCCAGAAGAGCTGGCCCATGTGGCTGAGGGGAGGGAAGTCTGGGCCTCTTTTATTAGGCTACTGCCCTTGTGACCCGATTCCATATAAGCGGATGAAAGTGTGTGGATGGATAATAATGTAGCATAAGAGAATGACTAATAATGTTGAAACGTCACGTTTATGTTTCTGTAAATCACTGTCATAAAAACACAGAAAATCTAGGAATAATTTTAAGCTGTGATATTTGGAATGGCAGTGTTGTGTTACCAGAGCCAGATTACTGCTTTAAAGATTACTAATAAAGTTAAGAAGGTGCCAGTTACTTTGTGAGAGAGCTATCCAGATTAAATACCAGTAAGTCCAAATCATCCGTTTTTTTTTTTTTTTTTTTTGCTTGTCTCGAGTTCCTGGCCCAGAGAGGATGTATGAACTCCAGCAAGTTCTGTCTCTGCTCTGAGGTTCTTCTCTGGTTGGAACATGTCCAGAAAATCTCCAGAAGAAGGCAACCAAAACACAGTTATAACACAGATGCCCAAAACACCTCCTTCTATGCAGAGGAGCAGCATCTCTACCATGAAATCCTCACCCGAGCACTCTGAAGAAGTTGTTCAGTTCATGATCCAAAGCTTGTGAGCACATGTGAGAGTTGGAACTTGCATGGACAAGTTAATAAGCAGTTTCTGTTTTCTTCTCTTGTCTGTGCCACAATGGCCAAGAGCAGCATTCTCATTACTGAAGATGGATCCCCAGCCCATCAGTCCATCTAACTCCAGTTTCTCCCTCCATCATACCATTGCTCTCAAACAAGACACTGAGTTACGTACACTTGGAAGTTGGGACAGTCACAAACTGTCCAAAAACTGTAGATTAAATATATTATTGTTCAACACCCTTTTTAAAGGGGGCTGTATCAGGCTTCTTTTATACCTTTCAGAGCAACAAAAGGCACAACATATGATCAGATATTACTGTTTGCACTATTGGGATGACATTGTTTCCGAAATGTGTTGTTTTCACGAGCCATTTCTTCAACCCGTAAATAAGATGCTTGGATTAGATGAAACCACGCCTCCAGTCAAGTCGGTTCTGGTGAAAAATGATCTGGAAAGACTCATTCATGTGGTTATCACCTCAAAGCTTGACTATTGTAATAGTCTTTATGTTAGGGTGAGTCGGGTTTGTCTCAATAGACTTCAGTTAGTCCAAAACGCTGTGGCTTGTTTGTTAACAGGCACTCACAGGCATGAGCATGTCACCCCGGTATTGGATTCTCTGCACTGGATTCCAGTTGCTTTTAGAGTTCGTTTTAAAATATTGGTGTTGGCATACAAATCTTTGAATGGACTGGCTCCTTCCTATCTATCAGACATGCTCGTGCTGTATGAGCCAACTACCCAGTTGAGGTCGGCTGACCAGCAGCAGTTGATTTTTCCATGAACAAGGCTGAAGCTGAGAGGGACTTGACTTTGGAACCAGCTTCCAGGCAATATTAGGCCCTGTCCACACATAGCCGGGGATCTGCCAAAACGTAGATATTTTTCTACGTTTTGGCCTGTCATCCACACGAAAACGGAGTTTTTTCACACGAAAACGGATCTTTTTAAAAACTCCGGCCAAAGTGAAGATCTGCATTTTCTCCGTTTTGGGTGTCTGTGTGTGGACAGACAAAACCGGAGTTTTAAGGTCCGCAACGTCACTTTCCGCGACAAAACAATGCTGACATCACGTGTGCGACCTGTGTTTACACTAGCCGACAGCATGGATGCCCTCAGAGCTGCGCTCGCTTTATCAATTGCCCAAGCGCTTTTTGCTTGTTTTTGCAAGCGGAATTACTGCTCCTTGCGGAAGACCACAGATGAAGGACGAGGTTAAGAACGGGGGAAGTAATGCCACCTACAGGTCTGGCATGTCCTTAACAACGTATTTATCCGGGTACGTGTGGACAGAGTTTTTTTTAAAAAACGAGGTGGTGTGGATGCAAGTTTTTGGAGGGTCGGATATTCATTTTTTAAAAACCTGGCTACGTGTGGACTAGGCCTAAGACAGGCATCTTCTCTGGTCATTTTTAAGTTGCACCTCAAGACTCACTATTATTCACTGGCTTTTAACACTGACTGATTATTCTTATCCACTCCTGTTTTGAAGCAGTGTTGTGTTTTTTATTTTATTTTCCAATGTTTTGTATGTTTTAATATATTATTCATGTTTTTACTGTTTTTAATTATGTCTGTATGTTTTTATCTGTGTGAGAAGCACTTTCGTTGACAGTGTTGTGTATAAAGTGCTATAAAAATAAAGGTGGATTGGATTGGATCAGTCATCAGTGTTAATTTTAACAAGAATATTTTGTTTAGTTTTAATAAAATTGTTTTTAGTTTTAGTCACGATTCTTCTGATGAAATCATTTTCACCTTCTGTAAAGGAAATGTTAACTAACTACTAGAAACTGTAAAGAAATATGAATGCAGCAATTAATACACATTAATTATGACCAATAAGATGTGATATCCCATACAAATATGAAATATAAATCTGATTGATCTTTGAATGTTTAATCAGAAGATTCTAGGGTTCTTCGCTTATTCAGGGACCATAAACACACTTCAAAAGAAGCTTCTTTCCCGATTTGGCCGAATCGGGCTCAGCTGGAAACGGAATTAATCGGGAAGTAATTATTGTTTTATTAAACTACTTTGTTATGATTTCTGGCCAAGTTTGGCAAATCAGAATTTGACACGTTTCTGAGTATTTACCAACATCCCTCAGAAAGCCATGCCTTCCTTCAGATACAAGATTCTTAACAATGTGAATAAGAATCTTTAAAACTCCTATGTGAAGTACATTTTAACCTTAATATGTGTCTTATAGTAATGTGTATGAGTGTAAACAATGATTAACTTGGTAAATCAAACACATAGTGATGTGATATAAATGGATTATTGTAAGAACAATATTAATTTCAAATTCATTGATTTAAGCACAGATTTTTCAAACATTTCATTTAAGCATCTTGTTCATTCATCACATATGATTATTTTACTTATAACTATAAAATTGTGGAGTCTTCACTTATTCGAGGTGAAGAATGTTGATGTCTGGCTTTCACAGAGAGTGCAAGAACCTTGGGTGAGAATGTTTGTTTGAATGTTTTGTCTTCATGGAATGTCAACACACGCTGAGCGGAACCTTCTGGATTCAGAAGGCCAAAGAGAAAGTGGATTTATTCTGTAGAATATGAAAGGTCACTGTCAGACCGGTCGGTTGGATACGGGAGTTGAGCTTGTGGAGAGCGTGGTCTCACAGACGCGGAAGTGATAGCGTCGGTGAAACGCCGGCTCTCGGTTTAATCTAGGAATCCCCGAGCGTCCGAGCGTCAATGAAGTGACACGAAAATGCTGGGTTTTCCAGAAGTAAGTAAGAACACTTACTGTGAGCTGAGAGTTCGTACGATGGATCGGTTGCTTGGAAACTCTGATCATAGATCCGAAGAAATGGTGACTGAGTGGTGAGCTGGGGGTTTCGCAACTTCCGTATATAGTTGCGGTTCGTGACGTAGGTGCGACGTGGAGGGAATCCCCGCGAGGGGCATGCTGGGAGTTCTGGTCCATGGTGGAGGCCGGCTAGCTGGGGTGAGGCTGGTTTGGGGACTTGGGTTCTGACAGTCTCTACGTTGGTCAATATATAGGTGAAAATAGACCCTTTTTGATGTTACATGAATAATTCACATTTCACATTTTGGATCAATGAAAGTATAATTGTTTTAATAGCATTAATAGAAAATACCAAAATGCAAAATGACGTTTTGAAATTGTGCCTCTTGACATGCAACATAAGTCATATTATGTTTCCCATATCGACATTTTCATCAACATAAACTTTATTTTTATGAAAGTAGGGTATGACACCACACCAGAACAGTTGGGAGTGTGTGTTATCACTCAGATGAAAACACCGCCAGACCTGCAGCCTCCACTCTGCTCTGCTCCATCACTTACATCTGAATAGCTTTTACATTAACGCTGCCACATCCTGTCTCCATAGGTTGCGGTGAAGGACGGGCTGCTGATCGGGCTCTCCTTTGATGCAACACCAGAGATGTTACATGCCGTCATCTCTTTTTATCTGATATTGTATTTAGGTTTGTTAGATTTTGTGCTTTATTTTTAAGGTAAAGTTAACAAGAATGAAATGCAAGAGCCAACCTTTGATCCAACTCAGAATCTCTGCAATTTCACCCACTACTGAGGAGTAAATAAAACATTAACGTGGCGTTGTGTTTTCAGTATAGATGCACACATGGGGAGACACTACCCTAAACTCTGCGACATTTGATCTCAAGGGAACTGTATCTGTGTTAAACCAGTTTATTTTCCTCATGTTCCTGCAGGTATGGTGAACTACAGCGAGGTTTCTGGATACCCGCTCGTTCAGCACTGGAGTCTTCGCTCTGTCCTGTACCACGTCAAACTCAACCAGTGGGTCCTGTCTCAAGGTGATTTCATCTTCTTTACAGTCGAGACAAACTATGTCAGCACCGTTTCCAAGTGCAGAAGAAAACTTTGCTTCAGCCTCCAGGGAGAAACTAAAAACATCAGATATTATTTATTATCACATTGTAATTAATGGCATGTCAAGGTTAGCGGCTCACCATAACAGCTTGCTTACTTTATTTTTTATTTGTGATGAGCTATGTAATTAATTGGCAGGCTGCCATGTTTTGATCAAACTTGGCAAGAATCATGGCAGATTTAAATATTCATGCACATTTGGGTCATCGGAAAAAAAAAAAAAAAAAGAAGAAGCTGGACATGCTTTCAAAATGAAGCAATACATATGTTGCTTAGGGGAAACACTACCCTTAATAGGAAATTGTTAAAAAGTATAAAAATATTTTTAGCTGTTTTTACAGTTGTAAAATAGTTACTGGAACATGATTGTCTGCGTTTATAGCACGGCCTGACTCATTTTTATCTGCGGTGTCGCAGCTGAAGTGGATTTATTTTTAGACTATCTAGCTTTTTGAAAACCCAATGCAGAAAAAGACCAGTCTGTAAATCATATGAAAGCTCGGGCACACTTGTGATTGTGTAACATATAAAAGGTTTACGTCGGTCTCGTTATATAGGATATATTCTCGTTACAATAGTCACCCTTGAAGCAGCAATATGGAATTTTGCCTCTTAGGAGTTATATTCGATTTTTTAGAAATCTTGATTTATTCTTCTCTGTCTGCATCGGTGTGGAAACACGCAACGCCATTATGTTTCAACGCAACAGCTCTCCGACAGGCTCACAGAGGCTGACGGATACATGCCCAAATTTTTTAATATCTGTAGAAAGTGACCGAGACCGCATGCCTGTGATTGATCAGGACGCCGCTTCCTTTAAAATCATCAACAGCACCACCATTGCCCTGTCAAAAAGTGAAATGATTTTTAGCAGCAGACGCACAACAGATTGAAGATTGCATAGCAGAAAAAGTCTGAAAATAGGAACATTTATTGACCCGTGACTGAAGGAGTACAAAAATACGGAGCAAACGTTTTATTCGTGCACGAAAATGACGGGAAACGTGGGTTTAGAGGTGGCGACCGCATGAAGAGGTAGGGAAACATGAAGGATAAATTCAGCTGTGTTATAAAGTCTTTGGAATATACAAACACATGAATAAATATTCTACTGTGGACCAGATACATGAGTGTAATGGTGGCAGGATACCACAGAACAATGCTACGCCCTCTGTTGCCCTGGCGGGGAATTGCTTTGCAACATTCCGCGGGTGACAGACAAGTCCGAGAGCACAACGTCTCTGTCAATGCGTGAGTATCTCCCTTGCAGAGATGTATAAATCAGTACTGCGATGTAATGTAGGCAGTGACCCTTTTCATTTATTTATTTATTTATTTGCTAATAACCCCCTCGTCCCACAGAGCCCCGTGCAATCATAATGGAGCACAGCTCAGAGTAAGTCAATAGCTTGAGCTACTTGCTTATGTACAGATGTCAATCACAGAGCTAGTGCGAGTGTTTGAGGATGTACTTGGACAGATCCAGAGTTGTTACATGGATAAAAAACATAGCATGAGAATATTAATTCTTAACCACGTGTTTAAGCTCTGTTGGAGGTGTGTGTTCATGAACAACAGGTGTTGCTTTCAACCGTAAACAAGGAAGTAAGTAAAGTGGCCTAAAGTGGCCTAGATGGTGTTGTCAGAGTAAAAAACTATGAATATCTGCTTTAAAGTGTTAGTCACCCCCTACCATAGCCTTATCTTTTTATATTTACTCGTGAGTGGCTGGGCCAGCAGGAGGCATGACCAAGACTCAGTTGCTAATTTATCTTACAGTGGCAGGGCAGCAGACGCCACGCTGTACTTCTTTAGCCAATAGCAATGGCTTATTCAAATTCTATATGACCTGAAGAGGGCGCAATACTGATGATTCTGGGCAGAATATTTTGATTTTAAATAAGGTGCACTAAAAAGCCAAAATGTTGATTACACATTTCCACAGCACTATTAGACACTCATTTATACAGTTAATCAGCAAAAAAAAAAAAAAGATTTGGGAGGTGACTCCCTCTTTAACGTGGGAGCAGTTCTTATCTGCAGTGTTTGCAGGAAATTTTGACACAGGAAGCATGAGGGTCAAGTTCCTGTAATAACAAATATGCATCACTGTGAAAGGTGAAAAACAAACAGGTGCTCGACAAGCACAACCAAACAAAGTGGGTTTAGGAGTCACAACTCACATTATCAGCTGAATAGTATCTGGATAATTGTAAATCTTTGCTTTATTGAGTATTAACTCCAAATAACGTCAGTATCCAACAAAGTAAAAAGATGCACAAGAAAAAAGTGTTCCAGCAAAATGGAAATTAAACCTCGTAAACATATTTTTCTCTCAGGAGTGCTGTTCTGAATAGCAAAGCTTTTCAACATTTCACATAAAGAGGTATCTTTCCTTATGATGCATCAAAACCCGGGGGCTCTATAATGGGGTTCTGCGGTTTAAAAGTGAGGTTATTACCTTACGGGAAAAGGAAATGAAAACACACACTGTCGTTGCCTGGGGGAATGGGTGCTTCAAACCGCTTTATGTGCTGTATAATGGAGCTGTGGAAGTGTCAGAGAGGGATGAGTGATGATTAAAGTGGGATGGGATCTACCATCTCCTGTGTCAAAAACAAATTCACGCTAAAACCGTTTGGTAGACCTGTTGTCATTACTGACATTAAAGCTAATTTCCACAGCACCTACACAACCCATTTATAGCAAATACCCATGTTTATTTTCTAAATTCAATTGTTTTCCCTTGTTGCATTGACACGCACTGGATACAGCTCTATGCACAAACAATATATATATGCATTTATCAGCGGTTGATCTCAGTATACGTTGCTTCTTGTTTTATATTTTTCTCTTTAAAACCTCCTATATGAGTCAAAATAAACCACGTGAGCCTAGCATTGTTAATTTTCCATACACTTAATACTATTTGTTTTTTATTGTTATAACTTTGCTCTCATGTTTTTCTTGTTGCCTGAAAGCTGAGGGCCTACAGGCAGACTCAGGCCCTGTCCACACGTAGCCAGGGATCTGCCAAAACGTAGATATTTTTCTGCGTTTTGGCCTGTCATCCACACGAAAACGGAGTTTTTTCACACGAAAACAGATCTTTTTAAAAACTCCGGCCAAAGTGAAGATCTGCGTTTTCTCCGTTTTGGGTGTCTGCATGTGGACGGACAAAACCGGAGTTTTAAGGTCCGCAACGTCACTTTCCGCGACAAAAAATGCTGACATCACGTGTGCAACCTGTGTTTACACTAGCCGGCATCATGGAAGCCTTCAGAGCTGCGCTCTGTCACTACCCGATCCATCAATTGTCCAAGCGCTTTTTGCTTGTTTGTTTTTGCAAGCGGAATTACTGCTCCTTGCAGAAGACCACAGACGAAGGACGAGGTTAAGAACGGGGGAAGTACTGCCGCCTACAGGTCTGGCATGTCCTTAACAACGTATTTATCCGGGTACGTGTGGACAGAGTTTGTTTTTAAAACGCAGTGGTGTGGATGCGAGTTTTTGGAGGGGCGGATATTCGTTTTTAAAAAACCCCGGCTACGTGTGGACTAGGCCTCAGGCTCTGATGGGAGGCAGGTGGTGACAAAGGATAATTGTTTATTTTACAGAGTGAAAGAGCTGCATTGGCCGGATGCACTATTAAGCACGCATACAATTTAAGACTGAGGCAGGAACAAAAGTTGACATCTAGAAGGAATAAAAGCAGCACAAACTGATTAAATATTAGGAAAAGAAAGTAAAAAGCAGGACTTTAGATACTCTGAATGTAACAGCTAAGAATCCCTTTACACAGGATGATGACCTCACTGTTCCTTGTTAGAAAGTGGATGGGCTTTGCAGGATCTTGGTAAAATTCAAGAGTTGCATATGATGGCGTCTGAAAGGTCAATGATCATTTTGAGCTTTTGTAACGAGGGGAAGCTACATTGCACTCATGCTCATACTACAACCCTGTTATGTGATAGATTTGTGTTAGCATAGCACCTCAGGAAGATGACTGGCTTTTTGATGTGTTCATGGATGTACATGAAACACTGATCAAACTAATTTTACAGTTAAATCAAGTAAAATGTGACTGAATATATTGGTTAAAGTGATAGTGTGTACTTTTCTTGGCAACAGGGGGTAGTACCAGTGCTTAATTTTTAAATCAAACGTTCCGGGGGTGGTTCGCTGGAGTTTTTGACAATTACAGTTGCGTCCACATTTTCTAAGTTAACACACATTTCTTTTAAAAATGGTAGTTTCTGCATCTTTACTGTTCCCCTGCTTCAGCCCTCCCCCCTCCCCCTGCGCAGCGGCCGCAAACTCACGGATGCGCCTGCCGCCTCTCAGAGTTTCTGCTGATCTAAACATTGAAAGAATAATTTCATTTTCTGTTCCTCACTTCTGATTACCTTCAATTGTGTCTGTTTGTTGCAACCAGGTACAAAAACAAACTTGTTTTTTATTTGACTATTTTTCTGTCCTGTCTGTTTATTATCTTCCTGCATCTCCTCTCAATACTAAAGAAAAACTGCTACCTGGGTTCATATTTTTTATCTTATGAATTAACTTTGAACTGCAGTTCAAAAAGATCTGCCGACCGCGCCGCGCGCAGACCGCACCAGTGAGGGGGAAGTCACCGGAGGACAAAACGGGTGATACGCTCCGCAGCAGCAAAACGCATCAGGCACAAATAAAAGACAGAAATCATAACAGGATATGAGCTGAAATAAATGGTTGCGTGTTAAATTTGTTTTTGAGGTGGCGACACTTTGAGAATGTGACTGCGGCCGTGCTCTACTGCATTGGCGACCAGCTCTTATCTGCCCCCTGGGAGCCCCGTCATGCATAGCATCATTTCAATATGGGGGTGTCCAAGGCATAGTTTATATGCTGGCAGTGGGCACTGCGGCGGCACTATAGGGCGACT